ATAACGTAACCCTTTGATTGAAGGTCGGGTATACCCAGGTAACTGAACAGTATAAAACAGAATCCACCTCACCAGCTACATCACCAGAGAGCTGGTACATGCTCTGGAGAATTACAGAATCACAGAGCAGTTTGGGGTGGAAGAGACCTTTAAAGGACATCTGGTCCAACCCCCACATTCTGCAGTTAAAGAAAAAATATAGATACTTCCACATTTTAAATGAACTAATGTATTTTATGAAGCTATGAAAGTGAGCTAATACACACTAATGCAGCCCAAAGGTGGCGCTTATAAAGTAAAATTAAACAAGCAGGTGTAACAGCACATCTTCCTGCTCTTTGTGGTTTTGATAATCATGAATTAGATCCAAAAGACACTTGTTGATAACCAGTTTTATAACATACATGTGAGTCATTTACTACTATGAACTTACAAGTTGACAGATAAACCTTAAAGTGTAACTTGAGAACTTTTTTCTTTGCTTGCTTTTTAAAGAGAAAATGGTTTCTTCTTCAGTCAGAAATAGAATTTGGGTTGTAAAAAACCCTTCACACACAGACAACACATCTATTTCTAAAGATGGTAGGCTAGCTTACTTGGTGTAGTAGCTTTCATTCCCTTTTTCCCAGACCTAGATGCACGGCCCGCATATACAGGGATCTTCCCTCCTGCCTTAAGAGCATCACCTGAGATAGTAAGATCAGACAAAAATCGTTATCTTTTTCCTGGTCTCCTCAGATAAAGTGCTGATCACCAGACAGGCCACAGCAATCTTTGCAGACACAACAAAATAACCAAGGGTACATTTAAAGTAGTACAAGTCATTAAACTTCCTTTTTGGAATTTCCTACTTACATTCACCTCCAGCAATTTTAGTAGAAGTCCTCTTTGGCTGTTCTTTCCGAGCAGTACCCATCCCTGGGCTCTCAGTAGCTCTCTTTTTAGTTACTTGTTCCTCAGTTTGGAATACCTTCTGTCTCTTTCCTTGCTGACCCCAAGGCACCTCATTTTCTTTCATTTCCAAATGCACCTGCAGTTTAAATATACTTCATTTAAATACTTTGTTCCAGCTGGATATAAAGAAGAGCTATGGTTCTGAGAGCAGTCGGTGGAACAGACTCCATCCTTAGAGGTTTCTATATCAGATTAGATAAAGCCTTAAGCATTGTGGTCTAACTTCATAGTTGACCCTGCTTTGACTGGGAGACTGAGCAAGAGACTTTCTGAAGTCCAACCTGAATTAACCTGTGAAATACTTACCCTGTTATTTAACAGAACTATATTAGAAAGCTTTTACCTGCACAGCTCTAACATGTTTGTATAAAATTACCTTATTGACAAACTCAATTGTTTGCAAGAAAAAACTAATTCCCTGGCTATGTTACTTTTTGACTATTGTGGCTCTGGTTACTGTACAAGTCTCTAACACTGACAGATAAACACTCCCCATTTCTTATTTCCCTTCTCTCATTCTAAATCAGGAAAAGTTCTTTCACATGGTTCTTAGTGCACCCACTAATTGCATGTAATGCTAAAGAACAGCAATTTCACCCCATCTCACACTGAATCTTCCCCTCCCTCAGCCATACAAGCCATGAATAAAGAGCCCACTGAGAGGAGTGGGAGTTAAAGATTATGAGGTTTAGGCAATCATCCAATTCCTGATAATTTTTTTTCTATATAAAGAGAGAACATCTTTATTTTTAGGTAAATTCTGAAACTAGTCAAATGTTCAGAACACTATAATGAATAGTGAAGGGTCTGAAATATCATTTCTTTCTTAGAGGAATTTAATTTACTTCTGTGACTAGCGAGTAATTTCTGTAACATTATAGAATAGCACAGTCAAAATAGACAAAATCAGTCCTACAAAGTACAGAAAACCAGTACCAGAATACTTGCATACAAAAGTCTTATGTATATACACACACAGACACAGATATATAACATTTACACCACCTGCTAAATGGTGGTAGGAAAAAAATCAAGTGAGTTTACATCATGTTGGGGGAAGGGGACAGTCAGCACACAAAGCCAAACAATGGGAATCACCTCTTTCTCATGAGAAAGCTCTGCATTTTCCTCACTGGTGTTAGTATCATCAGCGGAGTTCCTCTTTTTTCTGTTTACTTTCTTTTCTTTACCACATCTTCTTGTAGTAAAGGCCACTGAATCAGGCATCATTTCCTCCTCATTGTTCGGTTCATCTGATTTGATGAGACTAGGTACACTTTTTTCAGAGTCCTGTGTCAGAAAAATACTGTAATGTGGAACATCTGACATGAACAGATGAAAGAGACAGTTTCCATTTTATTGTTGGAAGAAGTATTTCACATAGAGGAAAAGCAGTAGCATGCATCTAACAGTGTAGTGATGAAGAAATTGGCACTATCTAGACTTCCCTAAATATCAAAGCCTATTATTTGAAGGCTTTAAAAAGAAGGCTTAGAGTCACTTTATTATAGAACATTTTAATAAGAATCTAGAAGACTAACACTTTATATTTAGAATCTGACTGCAGGATGCTGTGACCCTCCCAGATTCATGTTTCTGTGGAATGTTCTTCACCAAAAGGAACACCAGAGGCACTTCCATACTTGTTATAGTTAAAAATAAGCTCACAATGATTCTACCAGCTCCTCAGACCTTTAAAAAAGGCTTTTAAAGGAAGCACTTTCAGATGTATTTTAGAAAAAGCAAATACCAATTTACTTGCTATCAAAAACTTAAAAGCCATCACCATAGCCAATGAAATAATTCAGTTTACAGAAAACTTAAAAGAGAAACCAATACATGAAGAGACAAATAAAGGAAACATCACAATTGTATCACTCTCATTATAGTGTCAGTGTAAGTAAACTGTAGTAAATGCAAAATGCTTTCCAATGAATATCTAATCTCTTTAATCTAGGCATGTAAAACAAATAAGGTATGTTTATGTTTGGTACAGACTACCACCTGCAGTCACAAAGGTAATATCTGCTCAATGTAAATGTTGGTTTTCACAGAGAAAAACTTTGTACTGATGCTGAAAAATACATTGCTCATTTTGGCAGCTGAAAGAAAACCAGCTTTGGGTAGATAGGAGGCCACTTAAAGCTAACATCAGCACATCTGTTCCCATCAGTACCAGGGTGTATTAAACTAAAGGCACCATGAAGATTTTTTATTACAGTTCTTATCATGGTAAAAATTAACTTTCAGTACATGCCCTGTTCTACTAGTCACAGTTAGATCTATCTCTTAATAAGAATGGCCTATTTATCATTCCTTACCATATTTGCACTTTCTTGTTTTGTTCCATCAAAGTGTTGCTTCAGTGCTTTCAACAGTTTGTCTGCCTGGAGAGAAACCAAGACAACATATGAACTAAATACCACGTTGAATCATCAAACAAAACACTGCATAAACCCAGCCAGTGTCCTATCAACTGATCCAGCAAACAAGCAGAACGGTTCCTGGATCCAATGGAAGACTAAACTTCATCCAAGTCAGTCAAATTGTGTCCCTGCCTGTGGCAGGGGGTTGAAGTAGGTGATCTTTAAGGTCCCTTCCAACCAAAACCATTCCATGATTCTCAATGAAAGCGCTTAAGAACTCAGATAAAAAAGTAGCATCTTCTCCAAAGAGAGAGTTTTCCCTGCCCAGCTTTCTTCCTGGTTGCCTGTTTTCCAGGAAGTTTAATTATTCAGGGATGAATGAGACTGGCTTTAGCAGCACTGCATAACTGAGCATGTATCAAGTATCCGCACAAACTGCTTTCTCCCTCACAGTACATGCAAAGCTGTCGTGGTTTCTTCTCACCCCTTGCACCTATTCAACAGTAACAGCAGTAAAATTCAACAAAACTGTGCTGCTGACATTTTAGACTATGAAAGACTCTTGGGAAAGGTCAGCATAAAATCAAACCCGAACTAGAGGCTCAAGAACAAAATCATAGAATACTTAGGGTTGGAAAGGACCTTAAGATCATCCAGTTCCAACCCCCAGAGCTAAAAGCCCTGGGTGAAGCTTTTGTCCTGGCAGTACACGGGCATCACCCTGTGGCTCTAAAGAAACACCGGTGAGCGCTTAAATCCCTCGTTCTTAACCATGGCCGGTAAACAAACACACGCACCCTCGCCCCCCACGGCACTCCGGTGTTGCTGTTCTTCCGAGTCTTAAACAAAACGAACCCAAAACACAGCCTCCTGCCGGTGAGCCCCGCAGTGCCCCAGCCCATGGGCAGAGCCGCACGTCCCCTCCTTAACCCCTCCAGTTGAACGGAGCCCACACAAGCAGCTGTTCCAATGGACCTTGTGCCCGTCCGGAAGGCACCCGAGCACATCGCCCTACCCCGCGGAAAGAGCCAACGGCCAGGACCTTCTTCCCGGACGAAGGGACGCTTCAACACACAGCTGCCACCGCTCCCGCAGGCCCGGGCAGCGACCCCACCGGTGCCGTTACCCAAAACAAGAAGAGCGTCCACGGGCACGGGCGTGTTCCGTGAACGACAGCCGCTCCCGGCCGGGCACTGCGGGAGCCCCACCGCCGGGGTCGCCCTTTAGAGGGAGCGCTCCCCCTGCCCGCCCACCCCTCATCAGGAGGTGCTGCTCCCGCCCTCACCCGCAGGTTGGCCTTGAGCCCGGCGGCCTTTGCGATCCGCTGGAGCTCCACGTACTTCATCTCTTCGAGCTGCTGCCGCAGCGGAGACGGCGCCATGGCGGGGCAGGGCAGCGGGCGGCTACCGCCTCAACGGCCGCGCTTCAAACCTCGCGCCTCAGCCCGCGCCCGCCCCCGCCGCCGTTCGAACTTGCCCTCCGCGCCACGCCATTGGCTGGGTGAGGCAAAGGGGTTGAGACTAAGGGCAGGGAAGCCGCCAATAGCGGCTTGGCTATCGGGGAGCGCTTTGAGTGTTCAAACGCGATAGGCTCTCCAAGGCGAAAGGAAGCCCCGCCCTCCCCTGCGTGATTGGGCGACGGCATGCCCCGGTGCGGCCCGCTTCCCAATAGTCTCAGGCGATGAGGATTGACGCGAGCATTGGCCAATGGCAGCGCGGATCCGTGAATCGCTCTCCAATCGGGAAGGCGGGCGATGTGCTCGAACTCTAGGCGGGAGAAGATGGCGGTGCGGCGGCAGCTGCAGGAGCTGGTGCGCGACTCGCAACTCAGCGGTGCCATCGTGGTGGAGCGGCAGCCGTCGCCCGTAGCAGCAGCTCCGGGCCAGGTGTCGCCGCCTTCCTCGCCGCAGCCCGCGGGGCTGGCGTCGCTACCGCGGCGGCAGGAGCTGCTGCTGGAGCCCTGCGCCGTGTTCCAGTGCCGCGGCTGCTGGGCGGTGCTGAGCGACTCGCTGCAGCTGTGCACGCATGAGGAGGGGCTGCTCGGCCTCCTCGTCTGCTACAGTCAGTGCCCGCCGCGGGCGGGGGGTGCCGGCGGGCGGTTGGTGCGGCGGGTCCGGGTTTTAAGGGTCCGTCTTTCTCCTTAGGAGTCACAAAGGACGTGATCTGGGAGGACTCGCTCACGATCGGCCTGGAGGGACCCCTGCTCGGGTGGTGCGTAGCTCGCCTACTGCTTCCCCCGGGTCACCGGCCTGCCGGGCGCTGCCGCCGCGGGGCATTGAGCGGGCTGGGGTGTGCTGCGGGGTGGGTAAGATGCGGAGCGCCGCTCGTAGCCGTGCTTCAGCCATAGCGCGGCGAGGGAGCTTCTGAAGGTGCAGCTTTCGTGCGGTCAAAATCAGAAGTTTCGCTGCTGTCCTTGGTGGAGAGGAGCGTTTGAGCAGGCAGCCTGGCCTGTAGGGCTCTTCTCCCCTAAAAGGTCTGTTACCTAAATTAAAGCATCTCTCTTCGGGGTTTGGTTGTTCGTTGTTTTATATATGTGTGTGTATATATATATATGTACACTGTTATATATATGTATAAAAAAGCATAGTGTATGTGTATATATATATATATACACACACTGAAAATTATAAACTGCTCTGTTCGCAAGCCTGCAGTTAGCAGCAGGCTTGGTAACTGGGATGAGTGATGCAAAGGTTATAAATGACATCTGAGGACTTACAGAACCTGTAGTTTGTTTACATGGCATTTAAGGGTATTTTACTAATTATAGGGCCCAGGAACTTTTAAAATATAAGACTTTTTAATTTTTTCTTTTTTTCCTGCCTCTCTCTGCATGAGGCAATAATCTGTTTTATCAGGAGGAAATGCCACATCTATGATCTGGCAGAGGTGTTGTTTTACCAGTTAAATCTTGTTTGAGTACTATAGCCTAAACCACTCTGTGATAATAAGACACCTGTTTTCTTCCTTAATTGCAACTTCATTTATTACAGAGATTATGTCTTGCACAACATGCCCAAAGTTTTTACGTTCATGTTCTCTTTGTATGTAGTGTCTCCTTAAGGAGAAAGCGTTATTATGCCTCAATTTGTTGTCCTAATAGAACTGCAGATTTGCTCTCCTCTCACAAACATGCTCTATCTATGGTTTCAGAAGCTTCTGTTTAATACTGTTTTCCCCTTGCTCCTTTTAGTGCTTACAACACACTGACCTGTCAGTCGTGTGGCTTGATCGTGGGCTTCATTCTTTATTCTGCCTCCAGGGAGCTGGCGTATCTGAGAGGCTTCTTCTGTTTCTTCAAGGACAGCATCCTCTGGTGAGCATGCTCTGTTCTTCTGGTCAGTGATTTCATGGCAGTTTGTAAGTCATCACAACAAGCTGTACAACTAATCTACAGCTCCTTTTGACCAAGTGCATTGAAGTGGGGTTTTAATATCCTCTATTTTTAATTGTCGGTGTTGGCCTGACTCCATTTGACTTCTGTGGCCTCATGTAACATTGAGGTTTAAATTTAGGTGTTTGCAACACTGAAATCTCCTTCACTTCCAGATTCGCTCAGCTAACATAAGGTGTCAAAGTAGTTCCACGATAGCCTGAGGATTTGACTATAGTAAATGTAAATTACTTATAGTTGGTGATGAGAGCATTTTATGATTTCCAAGTAAAACCATTGTTACGTTTTTAATCTTTTCATAGTGCCTTGACTTCTTTTGGCAAAAACTTTGTATCTACTTTAAAATAATCTTAAATAATCCATCTAAACAATGAAGTTCAACCAAGCCAAGTGCAAGGTCCTACACCTGGGTCGGAGCAATCCCAGGCACAGCTACAGGTTGGGCAGAGAAGAGATTCAGAGCAGCCCTGCGGAGAAGGACTTGGGGATGTTGGTCGATGAGAAAATGAACATGAGCCAGCTTCAGTGTGCGTTTGCAGCCCAGAAAGCCAACCGTATCCTGGGCTGCGTCAAAAGGAGCGTGACCAGCAGGTCGAAGGAGGTGATCCTGCCCCTCTACTCTGCTCTTGTGAGACCTCACCTGGAGCACTGTGTGCAGTTCTGGTGTCCTCAAAATAAAAAGGACATGGAACTGTTGGAACAAGTCCAGAGGAGGCCACAAGGATGGTCAGGGGACTGAAGCACCTCCTGTATGAACACAGGCTGAGAAAGTTGGGGCTGTTCAGCCTGGAGAAGAGAAGGCTGCACGGAGACCTCATAGCAGCCTTCCAGTATCTGAAGGGGGCCTATAGGGATGCTGGGGAGGGACTCTTCATTAGGGACTGTAGTGATAGGACAAGGGGTAACAGGTTAAAACTTAAACAGGGGAAGCTCAGGTTAGATACTGACAGTTAGATACTGTCCTGGGTTCAGCAGTAGTGGTCATTTTTCCCCTTAGTAGCTGGTGCAGCACTGTGTTTTTGCTTTCGGCCTGGGAACAGTGCTGATAACACCAATGTTTTTAGTTACTGCTCAGTAATGTTTACTCTGACCAAGGACTTTCTGAGCCTCACGCTCTGCCAGGGAGGGAGAGGAAGCCTAGAGGAAGCAGAGACAGGACACCTGACCCAAACTTGCCCAAGAGGTATTCCATACCACAGCACATCATGCCCAGGATGTAGAACTGGGGGCAGTTACTCAGAAGGCCCAGATTGGGTTGGGTTGGGTTAGGGTTAGCGGTTGTATTCTCTTCTCTTGTTATTTCCCTTATCACTATTATTATTGGAGGTAGCAGTAGTGATTTGTGTTATACCTTAGTTACGGGACTGATCTTATCTCAACTCGTGGGAGTTACATTATCTCAACTCCTGGGAGAGGGGGGAGAAAGAAGCAGAGGGAGTGAGCGAGTGGCTGCGTGGTTCTGAATTACCAGCTGGGCTTAAACCATGACATGTAAGGAGGAAGCTCTTTACTGTGAGGGTGGTGAGGCACTGGAACAGGTTGCCCAAGGAAGTTGTGAATGCTCCATCCCTGGCAGTGTTCAAGGCCAGGTTGGACAGAGCCTTGGGTGACATGGTCTGGTGTGAGGTGTCCCTGCCCATGGCAGGGGATTGGAACTAGTTGATCTTAAGGTCCATTCCAAGCCAAACCATTCTATGATTTTAATTCAACTATGGGTGTTTTAACTGCTTTTCTTGGTGTGGTTTCTCCTTTTGTTTTCCAGTTACCTCTTGAAATCCCAAATCGTAGTAGAAGCTTCAAAGATAATTTTTCCTCCTGAGACCTTATGGGAACGACTGCAGAAAGTAAAGTTTCTACATTAATTTGTATGGAAAATATTAAAAAAGATTATTTTTTTATATAAGTCAAAAAATATTGATACAATTACTTTTTAAGTGCACAAGATGGAGGAAACACAACACAGTGACTGACTTAAATGTGTAAGACATGCAAAACATTTTCTAGAACCACTTATCTGCAAAACATATCCAGTTCTAGCTATTTTCTTCCAAAGTGTGTTATCCTTTTATCTCTGTACCTTGAAAAGAAGCGTTTAAATTGGATGTGCTTTTCTGTAACTTGGTTAGTTGTTGTCTTAGTAAATTTTCTGTCCCATAGCTCAGAGTTACTGTGTGTAGGAGACAGACAGTGTATCCAGTATTCACATGTATTTAGTATTCACATTAACTTGTTTCTTTTTAGCTTCTAAGCATGGAAATGGGCCCATGGCACTTCTTAAGTTTTGCCTTCTTTAAAGTTCTCTTCCAGTGTCTGACTGCAAGATCAGTGTTTTTATAGGTCAGGTGAGGCTAAAATGCAAAAATCCTATCCAGGCAAGACTTTTAAAGTTGAGACACATTATTCTGAAGTAAAACAATAGTAGTACTTGAGTGCAAACACAAATCATGTAACTGTGGGGAGTTTGCTTGTTGAGTAGAACAAGAGCAAGAATCTGGTCTTTGCTTTTTGAGACACAATGTCAGCAAGATTTTCCTCTTGTGCTTTTGATGTGTCCCTGGGCTCTGGAAATGGCATTTTTGAAGGACTGTCCACCTGTTTTCCTAAGCTAATCATGAAACAGTCTGTCCTCATATTGTCAAAGAAGGTCTCTGGCTGTGTAAAAACAAGAGTTAGGGAATATTGGATTGATTGTAAAAAGGTTCCAGCAACCTGTCTCCTTGAGTATTTCCATACATCCCTGAAAGGGCTGTGCTGCCACACATTCATCTGTCTCCCTGTAGCACAGGCCTGATTTGGGTGCCAGTTTTGTCTGTACTAGACATGCAATATAGAGATTAAAGCCCAGTATAGTTTTCTGTCTTGAAAGTCAACTGCTCTTCAACCACTGCAGGTGGGGTGTGGATCATTCAGAGATCCAGTGATAGGATATTTCTCTGTAGTCTTAATGCTCTTCGTTCTCTTTTTTTTTCTAGCTAAAGGAAAAGCTTGTGGAGAGCCACACACGTGTAGAAACACTGATGAAGATGCTTAAGGAACTGGAGGAAAAAAACAATGGGCAGAAAGGCAGAGCTCTGCATCAGATGCAGCTGGACTGCTGCCAGGATATGCAATAGTCAGGGTCAGCTAATAATACACCATTTCAAGAACTCCTGGAGTTGTTTCTGCATGTCTGCTGAACTAATGCACCAGAACAGCTTTGAGGGTTGATCTGTCATGTTACCTCTGCATAGAAAGAACTGGTGCTTAAGTGCATCCCTTCAGTCTAAGAGGAACACCTGAAAATCTGATATCCTGAAGATATGCTTGGAAAAATTAATAGCTCACCCGTACAGCACATCACTCTCCGAGACAGTCTAAGTGATTCTCTGTCATGACTTCAGGGGGAAAACCAGGCTTTGAAATACAAAAATTAGGTTTCTGCAACATACAAAACATACTAAGATGATACTCAAGAGGAGCTATTATAAACCAAACATTCTTATGGAGATCTAAAGTTCTTGTCTTACCCTTTCATACAGATACCGTGTTAATGGCAGGCAGCTGGTATCTGAGGCACTACTAAAGGATCTCCTCATCAGTTCTTTAAGACTTGCTTCTGTGTGGCCTGCAAAAGAAGCAAGCTAGCACGGCCTAGAAGCTGCAGCGTGCTTGGTGCATGAATCTGCACTAAGTGGCACAATGCTGGCTGGAGCACAAATTTTTGGATTTCAAATTCAATGGCAAGCCATGTGCCAGCCACCAGTATTTCTCTGTTTTTAATGGGTGCTGCTTCTTTCCAAACATCTAGAAAGTAATTTGATGGAAAAGAAGGAACACCAATTGGTTTTATGACAATATCTTTAACCCCAGTTCTTGGTATCTGGAAGATTAAAGGTTAGTTTCTCTCCCTTTTGTTGCCTAAAGGACCGATGCTTTAAACCTTCCATAAAGTTTAGTAGTTGTATGCAGTAGTCTAGAGAGGGCTGTATTTACTTCATTAATTCTAGTGATGCAGTTTTCCATCCTCTTACTTCTGCTTCCATGTATGACCGGCAGATTGCACTCCCCACTGCTGCTACTGCCAGTACTCCCTGTATTTCATGGTCTTAATTGTTGTATTTGCGAAGTAACTCTTGTAGTGGCCTTGGAGCAGAGAGGACGAAACTTACTGGAAAGCACCTCAGAGGCTTCAGGTGGCCAGCCAGTACCTACACTGCTACTGCTTTTTCATTGAGAGTTCAGACTGTCTCAGTTCCTTCTGATGAAGCAATAACTTGGAATACCATCAGCCATTCTGCAGAGAGAAGAGGGGTGCTCTCTGTTAAATTCTACTACTGTATGCTATATAAATGATTTTATTGTTAGTTTTACAAATTTGATCTGCATAAGTGCAGAAACACAGCGCTTTTCAACGACAGCTAAGTTCAGGATATCAAAAGTACCTACCTGAAGGAAATATTACACTTGTGACATCTGCTTCATTGCCTGTAATGACAAATGGTAACTTCTCTAAAATGAGCTCTATCCTGAACCCTTTACTTGAATGTTGTTCATAAGAGTTGTCTCTGTATGTTTGTACAGTTTGGATTGTTGTATTTGATTATTTCATTAATAAGAACAAAGACATCTTTACAGTTGTGTTGTTTTGTGTCTTCTGCATTGTGTTATGGTTAAGGGCCTGTTGGTCTTTAGCAGGTCTTGTGATTTAAGCTCATTTTATGCAAGCATCTCAGGTAGATGTTTTCCATTGCAGAAATTCACCTTTGCGTTACTTTCAAAGTGACAGCCCTTTTCTTATTCCATCCATTGACAATGGGCCTACTCCCTTTTGCCCTTTCTTTCAGTCTGCTTTCTGCATTGAGACAGTTCCTTGCTGTATACTTTACATCTGTACTGTGTAGAATAGTGCTAAACTGTCTTACTTCGTTTAGCTAAGTGTCCACCCCTAAAAGGAAAAGAAAGCTGTCAGTTACTTTGGGTTTTTAGTATTATCTTTACAGCTGTAAAGAAAAGAATTTGTAAATAAAAGCTGAAATTCAGAGATGCATTTTGTGCAGATCACTGATGCATCGTGAGTCACAAACCCACTTCTTTTCCTTAGATTATGTTTGCAGAAAAATCCATCAGTTTATCTTGCTGGGTCCCAGTTCATTATGAAGCATTAAATTAATGGTTCCTCATATTAGATTATATAGCATGAATTTAAACAAATAATGAGCATGTACTAAATAATAGCTGGGAAATTTTTAAACTATATTAATCTTTGTTACTGGGAGTACTCTGCTGAGTCAAGCCATGCTCCTTCATGTCTATTTGTCAAATGATGTGAGTTTTGTTGGCACTGTTGCCTGGTGTACCTGCTGATATTCACAGAAGCAGTGTTCCAACAACATTCTGTTTTAAGTAAGCTGCAAATCAAAATACATAGGTTTAAGTTGATAAAGCAGTAACATTCACTTAAATTTATTCTCTTCAGTAATTCAAAGTGATGCTCATAAACTTATTCCTGAAAGATTCAGTGTTTAATCCTGCAGCCTGTCCCAGATTCAAGTTCCTTTTAATCTATGGTTTATCAGTGAATATTTGTTGCTCCTATTCTAGTGTAGGACCTAATCTCCACTAACCAGGCATCTTTAGAAATGCATTCCAGCTTTAAATGCAGCCAGGGCCAGTCTGGCTTTGTAAGGGATGAATTCTCTAAGTGAATACAACCACTTAGAAAACAAGTCAGGCCTCACCAAGAGCTGTCTTCTCTGCAATCTGAAGACAAAACCAACTAGAAAATAAAACAAAGGTGGTTAAACATGCTACTGAAGTAACAATCATACTGAAAATCTTCTACAAACTAGCTTAAGGGTTAACAATCTGTAACAGGTCTTGGAAAGGTTGTAGCAGGATTAGCAGCCAATGGCTTTTTCAGCACAGCCTCCTGAGCTACTGTTCTGCTGTATTACAGCATTTTGACACCAACTGCAAGGAAGTTGTGCCTCGCTGCAGGTGTGAGATGCCAGCCATAGGAGGAACTATTCAGACATGGAGTTGCCAAAACAACAAATAATCCACACAGATGAAAGTTTTCTAGAGGACTTATTAATTTAGCCAGTCTGTGCAAGCAAGAAGCTTTCTGCAATCATCTAAAAGAGCCCTTAAAGCTTTAACTGATACATTGCCCATCTTAGTATGAGTGGAGTAACTTTCTTTGTCTGCCTTCCAAGAAGTCATGAGGCTCCTGTGCCTGAGGTCTGCTGGGAGAGCTGGACCCACAGCAGATACACAGCTTGGGCAGGTTCAGCCCAAATTGTTGGGTTTGCACAAAGGTACAGCAAGTACAAACACATCTCAGAAGTGGAGCGTGTAGCAAGTTGGTTAATTTATCTTCTGAACAAATGACACATCCAGTTTTTAGTGCATTCTCAGCCTGTGCTGCTTTATTGCTAAAAAATTTGTATACAGGTGCAGAGTTTCCAAGTTCATTTTTAAACAGTTCCTCTTTACAGTGTCAAAAGAATAAAATCTTATCTTGAAATCCTCAAAGATGCATAGATATAAAAGCAAGCTGCCTTTTGGAAAAACATCAGATTTTGCAGGGAGACATTCTTTCACTGTTACCATGTAAAACATGTGCAACGGGAATACATAGTTCCTAGTGACACCAATAATTACTAACCCATGTGAGCACAGCATCAGAAGTTCAACGTAAGAAGTATTTTCTAGTTTGTTCTTTAAGTACTAAAGTAATCTTTAAGAATCTAACACTAATACTTCTCCTTTGCTGTTGTACCATGCTTTTGAAAAGGAGATCATCTTCACTGACATCCTAAAGTAGCTTATTCCCAGGTTTTATATTGAGGGGAATAAGCATTAACAAAGGATACAACTGCTTACTCACCACACCAAAGAAAACATGAAAGTTTAAAAGCATGCAAAGTGTTCTAAAAAATACCCACTAAGAACTAGGTGACCATGGTTAATCGCTGAGCTAAACTTGTTCTACAAATTCCCTTTTTGCTTGAAGAAGTTGGCTCAAAGGATTTCATTTAGTCTAACTTCCGACGCCATAAAAGTCATCTTCTCGTAGAACACTCCTAGCTTCATTTGGCAATTCTTCTAAGTCTAAAAAGAGCATTCATGAGAAAAACACAACCCCCATTCTAACCCAAATCACGGTGCTTTGTGGATGGTTGGCTATGAAGCATGAACAGGAGTTAACTTGACACACAATTTCTTCCTCCAAGACACTTTCTATTTCAGAGGATTGTGCCCCTGTACATGGAGAAGTGTTCCGCACAAGTTAAGCCCACCTACAAAACTAAGCTAAGCTAGAAGTATGGAAATCGGCACTAAAAGCTAGTATTCTACATGTCTGAACACAAGGTTAAACTTGGAAAAGTATTAGTGACATAGGCTATGCCACACTTCTAGGTTATTTTCAAACTGCCAGCAGAAATTCACTTCACTGTCCACTGAAGGACCTGAGAAGTATTTCAGAGAACACACTAAAAGCCTACAGAAAGATGGCACCCAAATTCCCTTTTATTTAGTAAAGTGAAATAAAGGAAAAACAACACTACTGCAACCTGTGTTGCAGAAGAGAAAGACCTTCAGTGCTCAAATCGCAGTTACTGCTTTTAAAAATCTCTTTAAAGAACTTAAAAACTATACAAGAAGATTACCAGTATTTTCGGGTTCATTCCTGCAGGTGCCATTATTGCTGGCTGGTACCAGTACGCTTCAGTACAGCTGCCTATGTGGCTAGAGAGTTACCTGAAAATACTGTCTATTAAAAAGCTATTCAACACCTGAAATGTACATACTGTGCTTATTAATTTCAGTCTTCAAATAATTTCTCTCACCACAAGCAAGTTTATCATCTACTCTCTGGTAAGTACTACACTCAAGTCGAATCTGTGATTTCCATTACTTGTTTGCTTGTTGTTTGTTTTTTCCCCCACCAGTTGTTCCCCCCTGCACATTGTAAGAAACTCTGCACCCTTTTCCTTGCTACAGCTGCAGCAGGTGAGAAACCTCATCTCGCCCCTAAACATGCTTAGTCCATGCCCTGCTTTTTACATGCTCAGGACACTACTTTGAACCAGACTAGAGGTTATAAAGGCGAGTTCTGCTGATCCTAGTTCCTGATTTACAGTTTTGGTGCCATGCTTCTGTCCCTACCTATACATTCTGCCCCTTT